TACGAATGTATTAAGATCCCATCAACCCTACCCTCTTTTCTCTTGTATCGCTTTATTTAGTTTTATGTTTTGTTTGTTGGGTCCATTCTTATTCATTCCCACTTCCTAACTATTAGTGAAAGTAACAAAACAAGTTTTGTATACCATGTACATGTACCACACCCAACTACAGTATATACATGTCATACACAAACTTCAAACATATCCCTTGTGAACTCATGAAAGGTACTCTGGTTCAAATATGTTCTGGAAGAAAAAACAACTTCTGTCATTCTATACGAGTATATGACTAATCCTAATCATATACTTATCTGACAGGACAATATTGAGTGGCAACACCCAACAACAGAATGTCCTATTCATTTATGGTTAACACACAAACACACTCACCATGACAACAAAACAAAACATAGAATATCATTTTTTATCAACAATTTAATGAATATATTTTTTTTCTTTTTTGTGTCTTATCAACAACCTCATAATTCAATTTCAATTCAATTCAATTCAATTCAATTCAATTTAATTCAATTTATTTTTCCAAGCAATAAAAAACATACAGGGTAAAACAAAAGCAGTATACAAAGTTTCACACAATTACAATTACTAACATAGATAAACACAGAAATACACAGAATCAATTTACAAACATGAATAATACAAAGGAAATTGCTAATGCTGGTAGCAGCCAGAAAGGAGGTGGTCCTTGTATGCGGCTGACCAATTAATCAAATATAAAAAGTTAAGCTGTGATAAAAAGTGAAACAAACAACAATTACATGTAAAATATAATGAATTTAACAAACGTTAAAATCTGTAGCTAATATCAATATACGTCCATCAAGTATTTTTTTGTATTTACATTTGAAAGTGTTAACAAATTTCAATTCACGTATTTTACGAGGTATAGTACTCCATAAGCAAGGTCCATTAAATATTACTGTACCTTTATATGAAATTGTATCTACAAGTGGCAAGTGAAAATTCTCAGCATTTCTAGTACTATACTGGTGTATATTACAATTTAGTATAAAAAGTTTTAAAAGTGATTTGGGAAGGATCTGTAAATAGCACTGGAACATAAATATTGCACATTGATAACTATACATATCAGTAAAATTCAATATTTTCATTTCTTTAAAAAGTGGATGTGAATGGGCAAGATAAGAAGTATGACAAATAGTACGAATTGCACGTTTTTGCAATAAAATCACTTTCCTAATATGGGTTTCATGTGCATTCCCCCATGCAAGTATTCCATAATACAAAAATGGTAATATCAAACTGTTATATATCATCTTCAATATACATTTAGGAAATGATTTTATTTTATACATAACACCAATATTTTTCGATGATACATTACAAACAGCATTTATGATCAGTCCATTTCACCTTATTATCAATGGTTATGCCAAGAAATTTAAGTGAAGAGACCTGTTTAATTTCTGTATTACACAAACGAATAATAATAGAATCAGTGTCACATTTTTTAATAGTAAAAATCATATAATGTGTCTAACTTATATTAATTGACAATTTATTTACAGAAAACCATGTGTTTATTAACTTAATTTCTCGATTAAATATATCTTGAAGTGATTGTATATTTTGATGGAATAAAAAAATGCTTGTATCGTCGGCAAATAAAATTGATTTTAAAATTCTCGACACACTGGGAAGATCATTGATATATAAAATAAACAATAATGGCCCTAATATGGATCCTTGAGGTACTCCACATTTGATTTCTTGGTAATTTGATTTTACATTAGCAATAGAAACAAATTGATGACGACGTAACAAATAACTTTTAAAAAGATCTAAACCGATTCCCCTTATTCCACATTGATATAATTTCACCAACAGTATATGATGGTCTAACGTGTCAAAAGCCTTACTAAGGTCTAAAAACAATCCAAGCATAACTTCATTATCTATTGCAGAGGCTACCTTATGAATAAAATCAATTATTGCACATGAAGTAGAATGTCCAGCTTTAAAACCATACTGATTATTATTGATAATATTGCACTTAGTTAAAAAAGCATACAATCTATTATACATACATTTTTCTAAAAAAATTGAAAAAACTGTTAAAACGGATATAGGGCGATAATTAGACATTGTTTCAGACACTCCATTTTTAAAAACAGGTATCACTTTTGCTATTTTCATTTTATCTGGAAATACTCCTTGTTCAAGACATTGATTAAATATTGTACATAAATGATTGCTTAATAAATAGATACATCTTTTCACAATTTTAACATCAACATCATCATATCCAGCACTTGTATTATTTTTTAGTTTTTTAACAATATCTTCAATTTCTGAACTTGTTACAAGTTTAAAGAACATAGACTTGTCATTCATATCAATACACTTGATACACTCTGAATCATCAAAACAATCAAATTTACAATTTAAATTATACCCCACATCTACAAAATATTCATTAAAATTATTAGAAATATCATTCTTGTCAGTTATCACTGTATCATTTTTATTAATCTCTTTAATGTTAGTCATCTTACATTTTCATATTAATATTTAATATTAATAAACGATAATTTGTTGACATCCTTATCAAGTAATTTCTGTGTTACAAACGTATTGAATTCATCTGGAGTATAATGTGACTGAGTGAAGTTATTAGTACTTTGAGGGTCTGATGGTGACAAAAATTCTCTCAAGGTTGATACAGATACATGTTTTTCATTGAGACATTGAACAAATCGAGCACGACACGACATTTGAAAACCAAAAAAGCAAAGGAATATGAATTCTACACTTAAAACAAAGTAGTAAAAAGCAAACAACAACAACAACTATGTACAAAATGTAAAGAAGAACTTAAATGGATAAAATGTAAGAAAGTTATTGGATGTCTAGAGAATATATTGCTGTAGCAAATGTATATAAAATGTATTAAATAAATTACTGTATACATTTAAAATACGGCATACATATAATTGCGTATAGAATTACCAGCTTGTACCAAGGCACTGCATCATGAAATAGAAATACTGAATTTTTGTTTGTACAAAATGTAATGAAAGACATCTACAGAACCACTAGGGTATGAGCTCAAAGATCAGGGCCCTGTTTCACAAAACTTGATATCAATAACTGTTATAAGCTACTAAAACCATATGATCGGCTTAAGGCAAATTTGTTATTGATAACAAGTTTTGTGAAACAGGGCCCAGATGCAACTTTTCTGTCTCTTTGGTGACTTTTTTCATCCTGCACACAAAATATTGGAGAATACTTGTACATGTATGTACATGTACAGTATGTACATTTATCGCAGTTTGTCAAGAAATTGAATCTGCTAGACCGCGAGTAAGTTTGCCATTCAAGATCTCTGATTTACTAAACATTTATTAATTGCAAAATGCATCATAATGTTCAATGCCATACATGTATGTACATTCGCTATGACAATCTTTGAAGCAGTTGTAGTTTTTTTCATACGAGCCTTGAACAGTTTGAGACAAATGGAAGAAAACCAAAAAGGCACCAAGATGCAGTCATCTTCCACCACATAATGTACACTGTATATTGTATAGATTACACTCAGATCGTGTTTCCATAGTTACCATGTACTGTGTATTTGTATACTTCACAACAAGAAAATAGAAAACAAGCAAAAACACACAAGTGAAAGCGTTGGCAAAGAAATCCCCCTTTTTCACCTCTTGGCAATGTAAAGAACATACACCCATCACAGCTGAAAGAAAATGTACACAAATTTCACCTCCCAAAACCCTGAATAATTTCTTAACAAATTATCAATTGCAAAAGTTACACACAATAAAATCTCATGATGGCATTTCAGTTTGAAAAGGTACATTGTGAAAAAAAAGAATATCATGTTTTAAGAAAAAAACATTTTAATAAGGCAATTTTCTGAAGGTCGCTTCATTACAATATACATGTAGGCACACTTGAAAAGGATGTCAATCTCTCTCTCTTTCTCTCTCTCACACACCCACACACACACTCTTTTGATAATTTACAAGAATATGCCATTCACAGTAGCATTTTTTAGCTTATTTCTCTTATCATTTCCATAATGCTCTTGTTGTTGAGTTTGTATTGCTTAGTTTCAAACATGAAAGCGTCCACAATCAATTCCATAAGTATTACGTAGTGAATCACCATTAATACTAAGAATCCTAATTAAATTTGGAAACTGGGAGGAAAACAAAAGGAGCCTTCCCTACATATATACTGTATACATACACTCTACATGACTTTTGTGTAACTTTCTTATGAATTACCATTTCTTAAGAAAAATACTAGAGCTGTTTCAATCGGTGTCTTTGCATACAGGAACATATCGCCTGCTCAAACGAGCTAGAAGGTTGTTAACTCGTATCCTTTTTATACCGGTACAAAGTTTACTTCCTTCTGGCTCTCAACAGAGGATAATCATTTTACATCAAGACTGAGAAGAGAGTATTAAGCAACAGAGCATAATTTTGGTTCAGAGCCGAAAAGGTGTTGATTCCCTCTCATACGAATATGTTTAAAAGAGGCAATAATACTCTTCTGGCTCTCAATAGACAATATTTTGTGTTTCACAATTGAAATAATTACGAATCTATATTGCATATTTAGTGCTTTGCTTTATCACATCATGGATGTCCATCAAGCTTGACTGCTTAAAATGATAAAAAAAGAAAATTAACTTATTTCCAGGTACTAAACTCAAAGTGAAACACTCATCCCAGAAAGAAAATTTGTTCCATTTACTAGGCCTACAGTCTATTCTATTTTTTTTTAAAAATCTTTGGATAATTAGACGTAGTAATACATGAGAGAGAGCTCAGCTGGCCAAATTATCTCTACAAAGAAAATGGTTACATCCGCCTGAAGATCTATGTAAAAATCTCAAGACACTAGCCACGAGGTGTAGTAGAGTTCACAAACTCCAGTGCGACCTTGGTATCTGAGGTCACCGCGGGTCGCATCTTCAATGTAGAGTTATGTTGTGGTAAATGCATCTGGTCCATATGCTCTTCCTGCAATGTACACATCCCTCCTATTGTCTTCTTGAAAAATTCCTGCATGTACACGCTCACTTCAATAGCTCCAAAGTTTACTGAAACGTGTGCCTTTTAATAATAAAAGCTTAGTTTGACTGACACAGTTTGATCATTGTCCGATGTCTTAGAAGATCTTACACGATGTCTTAGAAGATCTTGCATGAAAGCTTCTTCTTGCGCTTCTTGCTCTGCAGTGCTGCCCTTGTGGCCGTTTCAAAGACCTCCCTCACCCCATCGTTGGTCTTGGCCGAACACTCCATGTACTTGGCAGCATTGATCTTGACCGCCATCTGGTGACCTTCGTCGTACGTGACGGGAGTCTGCTTGGTCCGCTGCAGCTCCATCTTGGTGTTGTCGTCGTTACGAAGGTCCTTCTTGTTACCCACCAGGATGATGGGCACGTTGGGACAGAAATGCTTGACCTAGACAGGACAGGAAGAGATGAAAGAGAGAACAGTATTACACAAAATTTCACAACTAAAAAGACCTTCAGGATCATTCTTTTTTACCCCCCATAAATCTGTTTAAATTCATGACCAGATAAAGAAGTTGAATTTGAATATCCTCAACCGTGCTACAAGTACATCTAAAGGTATTGTATCATAAAAAGTAGTTTCTTATATTTGTCATAAAACGAAAGAGATTATGTATTAGAAATTAAAAATTGACCACCTCACTAAATATCAGTACAAGTACCGGCATGCAATTCTTAAATTATTACAGGGCGGCTACAGACGACCCCATCTAAAAATGTACATGTACCTCAATACCTCTAATTCACATATTATATTTTAAGTAGAAATTGTAAACCTATAGGTGGTAGTGTAACCTTTTAACAATTGATTGATGCAAAACTTTTTTTTGTTCTTACCTCTGGTGTCCATTTCTCCGGGATGTTTTCTAAACTGTCTGGATTGTCAATAGCAAAGCACATGAGTATAACGTCTGTGTCTGGATATGAGAGCGGTCTCAGTCTGTCGTAGGCTTCCTGACCTGCTGTATCCCATAATGCTAATTCAACCTGGACAAAAGAAAGAAAGAAAGGAAAAGAGTTGGTTAATTTTTCATGTTACATCAATTTATCCTTTTTTCCAACAACAAAATCCAAAAAATATCATACAAGTTCATGACCAATAAATGTTGCAACATTTTCATTGAGTATTCATCATACTGTAAACGCTGTTATTTTCGCATGATTAATTTTTCGCACTGAGCGACCTCAAAACATATTCGCGGGTTCTTAAACTTGCGTTGCACCGTTTGCACGCAATTCTGCCCATTCAAAACATTTAAGTCATGCTTATATATTCGTGGACACTGACTTTAGCGCAAAATCTGTGAAAATTAAAGCAATATTACTACGTTTACAGTAACTGAAAACATAAACAGGTCTGCAATCTGCATCGTTCCTGGGGAAGTGATTCAAGAGAAAAATGCTTTCCGATTTAAGTTCCTCATCATTCATCACCATGATTGTCATCACTCAAGTTTATTCATCTGTAGTATTTATTTTACAATTATAGTGAACCAGTATTGTACATGTAAGTATGTACATGTACAGTCAAACCTGTCAATAGCGACCTGTAGACATGTTCCTTAAGTACATGTTTCAATGAGAAACCATTTTCAAGGGAAACAAACAAAATGTGGTCTTTGTAGACAGGTGGGTCAGGTGGTCATTGTAGACAGGTAGTCACTAATGCAGGTTTGACTGTATACCATGTACATGTTTATGTGCATTTTTTCTGCATTTGATTTCTTCTACTTACTATTTTTCCCTTTGTCACAGTTTACAAAAATTAAGTTGAAGTTACACTACAGACATAATTTGCATACCAGTACAGTAAAGATGTAACGACTAGACATTCATAAACTGTTCCTTGCATGATTCTGTGGACAGCATGACTACATAAATGTAAGAATCAAATGATAAGTAAAAACATCTCACCTGTTTGCTTTCTACTTCTATATCAGCTACATAGCTCTCAAATACCGTTGGGACGTAGACTTCAGGGAACTGGTCTTTGCTAAATACTGTGAGCAGACACGTCTTTCCACAAGCACCATCTCCAACGATGACCAACTTTTTCCTAATCGCAGCCATATTATTTTGTTTCGGTGAATCGGTAAAATCTCGCCCTGTGTGAGGAAAACGGAAAAGAAACATCATTTAACAGTTTATGTATGTACATGGACTGCCAACACATACAGTTGTAGGGTTAGGATTAGGTTTAGAGATACACATGTAATATGAACTTTAAGTTTAAATATTACTTCTAAATAAAGCTAAAGCATGACATTTCATATACTGACCTCTATGACCCTCAACCTTTGACCTGCTTTACTGCAAAATCGAATTAGATAGTCTTCCTATAGTGATTCATACTATCACCTTGTTTGAAGCTTGGTAGGTTTCATGAAACCGTCATAAGTACAAGTTCACCGACATCCCATTGAAACGCGTGTTAAACTTAATGGATGTCTGAGAACTTGTACGTACATGTATGACGGTTTTGTGAGACGCTGCCCTGTACATTACCTCTATTGTTGGTTCGATATCACGATAGCGAGGCTACAATGTAATTAAAAAAATTAAAAATGTAATACCTGGAATTTTGGAAATTGACCTCAAAGACCATTGACCTACCTAATGTACATAGATGTACTTCAAAATCTAATGAGATCATCTTCCTATTGGAAATTGACCTCAAAGACCATTGACCTACCTAATGTACATAGATGTACTTCAAAATCTAATGAGATCATCTTCCTATGGCACACGAAGGAAGATGACGTCATCCATTGACAGCAAAGCCAACAGTTTAAAATAAGGCTGCAAGAATTTCAACACAGAGTTCAATTTCGAAGAAGAAAATCCAGAAAAAGTCCCTTAAATGCATTATACAGTCAATCTGGTAAGTGAAACCGATGTACACATGTATACTAACCTAGAGTCTAGGCCTAATTTTCGAGAATAAATGTATCGGATCAGAGCTACCAAGTGTCACGCATTAGGCGTGACGTCACGCACTTGGAGGGTCTGAAAATTAGTATTATCTTTCAAATGCAGTTGGAATTTAACTTTTTCATTTTTTTGGCCTGCAAATGGGACATAGATTTAGACTAGATCTAGTACCTTTAAAGCAAGCGCACAGTTTTGTTTTGTTTTTAATTTGCGAAGCATTTTTAATCAATCGCAACTCTTTACTTTACCTTATAACACAGGGCCCTGATTAAGCATTAAAAGAAGTACAATAGAAAGTCCTTGTCAATTTGAAGTCAACATAACCAAGTTACACATGTAGGCTGCAGTACTACTAGTACTGTCTAGGCTGTATACACGTATCACACCATCTACCACAACGCATCGACCACCGCCACCGGAGAGGGAACCGGTGCAGCCGATGACAAAGCTAGGCTCCAGCCTAGTCTAGGTAAATGCAACGGTGGTGGGCTTATACCATAAGGGTGGGTAGCGTCGCGTCGCGGCGCGTTGACTTGAACGCGACCATTCGTCCAAAGCCCCCCCCCCCCCCGGTTTGACCGAAAGGGTGCGTTGGATTGTTAAGGCGCGTCAGGTCAGATAATGCGACCAAATGGCACATACGGGGGGGGGGGGCTTATTCCAAATGTACCCGTTCAGAGCATCGAAGTTTCAAGTAAGAGCACTGAAGAGAGACTGGACACGTGCGACCGGGCTTCAAGCTTCCTGATCATTTTCGTGGTGAGTTTATATGAGTATTCCTGCATATTATCCTGTTTTTTGTGTGGTACGTGTTTAAGTATACTAGTAAAATGTCAGAATATAGAAGTTTATGTTTTTTTGCCAAGTGTTAAACCGTAATGTTGTATTAAACTGAACTTGATGATCGGATCGTGCAGTTGATCGGATTGACTGAGATCAGTCCCATGTGCTTAATTTGGCGTAATCTTTCAGAACTAACTAGGTCTAAGGGGCTACTTAATGAGGCTCTATTAAAGACCGTCAATACTACTGGGCCAGAAGGGATTAGACCACACAGCGAGGTCACTGACAGGTGGCTATCTCATTAACTCAGCTCTCAACTAACATAAGAAAAAGAGGATCATGGGGAACCAACGGCAACAGGCACAAATTGGGGAAGTTTTCTATATAGTCTAGACATGCTAGAGGGAGCTCGGAGCAAGTAGCTACAATACAAGTGAAGTACACTGTCGCCATAAAGGTGGAATATTTCAGTTTTACCCCAATTTATTGAATTATTTTAAAAATTATTTAAAAATAACAGATCTAGATAATAGTATACAATCTCAGATTTTATTGAATAATAATTTGCCAATGTGTGTTTTGCGGTACTGCTAAAGCATGTGTATGCTACTATGCTCATTAACTAAGGGACCTACGCCCTCAAGTCATAAATGACAGTAATGAGGATTAATGCCCCACAAAAGAGCATTAATATAGCACATCGACACGGTTTTGGTCCTGAGGCCTCACAGTTATGAGGCGTTTGTTTTGTCACTAAACCATGACTGTACGCATTGGGGGCTAGGGTAGGGGGCAGTTTCCATAAATAAAAAAAAACACAGAAAATGCAATAAATTTTCAATAATTTATTGCATTTTACCCCGGTCCCCAAAATAAAAAAATCCTCTGGTCGGCCATGCATTATGACTCAAGGCATGGGCACACAAAAGATTTTTTATGTTGGGAACCGGGGTAAAATGCAATAAATTATTAAAAATTTATTGCATTTTCTGTGTTTTTTTAATATTTATGGAAACTGCTCCCTTTAAATAGACTTCTAAATCACTAAAGAGAAAACATATGATTGCTTATTAAAAATAAAATAAAGGAAAGAAAGAAGAGGAAAAAGAAGAAAAGAGGGAGACGGGGGCAAAGGGCTCTTGCCTCCCCCCCCCCGCCAAAAAATAAATAAGAGAGAGAGAGAGAGAAGGGAAAGGGAAAGAGAAGATTAAGGAAAGAAGAAAAGAGGGAGACGGGGGCGAAGGGCTCTTGCCTCCCCCCCGCCTAAAAATAAATAATAGAGAGAGAGAGAGAGAAGGGAAAGGGAAAGAGAAGATAAAGGAAAGAAAGAAGAGGAAGAAGAAGAAAAGAGGGAAACAGGGGGCGAAGGGCTCTTGCCTTTCACCCGCCCCCCCCCCCCCCCGCCAAAAAATAAATAATAGAGAGAAAGAGAGAGAGAGAGAAGGGAAAGGAAAAGAGAAGAAAAAGGAAAGAAGAAGAAAGGGAGACGGGGGCGAAGGGCTTTTGCCCCCCCCCCCCCCGCCAAAAAATAAATAATAGAGAGAGAGAAGGGAAAGGGAAAGAGAAAGAGAAGATAAAGGAAAGAAAGAAGAGGAAGAAGAAAAGAGGGAGAGGGGGGCAAAGGGCTCTTGCCTCCTCCCCCCCCCCCCGCCTAAAAATAAATAATAGAGATAGAGATAGGTATGCAAGAGCCCTTAGCCCTTTGCCCCCCCCCCCCCGCACAAAAGAGAGACATAGAGAGAGAGAAGGAAAAGAAGAGAAAGGGAAAGAAAGAAGAAGAAAAAAGTGGGGGGAAAGGAGATCGGGGAGGGGGGCGGCGAAAGGCCCTTTCCCCAGCAGACCTAAAACAGAGAGAAGGAAGGGAAAGGAAAATAGGAGAGATAGGGAAAGGAAAATAGGAGAGAAAAAAAGAAAGGTAGGGGAGATCAGCTACGATTAGAAAAAAGGGGGGAAAGGAGATCGGGGGGGGGGCCGAAAGTGCCTTGCCTCCCAGCTGTTACCCCCCCCCCCCCATCAAAAAAAAATAGGAAGAAGAAAAGAAAAGAGTAAAAAGAAGGGGAGAACAGTTGCGATTAATCCCGCCAACAAATTGTGGATGGGGGGGGGGGGCGGCGAAAGGCCTTTTCCCCAGCAAACCTAAAACAGAGAGAAGGAAGGGAAAGGAAAATAGGAGAGAAAGGGAAAGAAAAAAGAAAGGTAGGGGAGATCAGCTACGATAAGAAAAAAGGGGGGAAAGGAGATCGGGGGGCGAAAGGGCCTTGCCTCCCAGCTGTTACCCCCCCCCCATTAAATAATAAGAGAGAAGGAAGGAAAGGGAAAGGAAAAGAGGAGAGAAAGGGAAGGAAAAAATAGGGAGAAGAAAAGAAGGGGCACCCCCCCCCCCACAAAAAAAATGGGGGAAGGGAAAGATAAAGAGGAGAGCTAAAAGGGAACAAAAAAGAGGAAAAGGAAAAGGAAAAGAAAAGGGTAAAAAGAAGGGAACAGTTGCGATTAATCCCGCCAACAAACCTAAAACATTGGCGTAGTAATGGGGGTGGGGTGACAGATGCCAAATATAATTCAAACGTGGTTTATTTCTTATTCGATACCCTTGATTTACAAGATTATTATTTTTTAAATACTTTTTAAATATGTTAACACATCCTTTCGGCCATACCGGGGGGGGGGGGGGGCTTTGGACGAATGGTAGCGTTCAAGTTAACGCGACGCGACGCGACACTCCCAACGCACCCTTTCGGTCAAACCGGGGGGGGGGGGGGCTTTGGACGAATGGTCGCGTTCAAGTCAACGCGCCGCGCCGCGACGCTACCCACCCTAATGGCATAAGCCACGGTGGTGTATCTGTCCGCCCGGTGCCGTTGCAGAAATCGAAATCCTAAACTTGCCTTCGACCTTCCGAAAAATTCTTCGATAACACACGTAACTAAAGTAACAGCAATAAATACAAGAAAGTGCTTAAAACTCACCAAAAAGTTGCAACTGCAAGCTACGGGGGCATCAAAAATATAATAGCTTATTTATTGTGCTCAAATTCTTGTGTTAAATCCAAATTTATCCGTTTGACAATCGAATCCATGAGCTGGTTTACCTATGCAGCGCTTATTCTCTGTACGCGTCTACTGTGAACATCTCACTCGAGGTCGGTGGTATTTATACGTTGTACCCGTGCATTCTAAAAATAGCACCCGGATAGCTCTTTCATTGGTTGAAAGAGAAATTACGAAATCTTCCAAGTTTTAGACAGTTTGAACATTACAGAATAAAGATGTTTTTAATCACATTCACATCTATTGCGATGTATTCTGTTTGTCTTTGATATAAGATCATTTTGCATGTAAAATATATGAACATCACTGGGATTAGAACATTCATTGTAGGCCTAATTAGATTTGAAAGTCCTTGTTTTTACATGTCTTCTTCACTTTATGCCAATAAATATAAACTATTCAAACTGGGAACAAAACAAATGAACAGTAATTAAAATTATTTTATAAGCAACGATAATGGAACATAAAAGTATTTCTTTATATACATAAAAAGGGGCAACATGAACAATTTTGACAAATCCTGCAACATGGGAGAAAAGTATCAAAACTCATCAAAAATTATCAAAATCATCAAAAGTGGTCAATTCTAATTCAATTTCAAATCTCGACTTCTAGTTAAAAGCACATTATTTTACTGAAATTCAGGGCCCTTTTCACGAAAACTTGATAGTGTAAAGTTTGATGACAAATTTACTAACAGCCAATCAAATTATTATCTGTTATTGTGTATACCTTATTATATAATTCTATATAACAGAGGGTCATCTTTAAAAATATAGATTGTGCATAAGAACACTGAGTTTCAAGTCCGAATGATTTTGCAAGATGAACTGGAAAGTTTTCGTTTCCTTTCCATCTTCTCTTTTATAGAGTTATGATGGAAGAAAACACTGAAGCAGAATTGTGATAAGTAATAGACCAACTACATATTTATCAAATTACTAAGGATAAAGGCCACTGTTGATTAGGCTAGGCCAAAACAGACCGTGAATTCGGATTAAATGTTATTATGCCCTTGAAGTTTCCTTGCTCACTTCATCTACATAATGTTATTCTTTAAAAATATTGTGAATTGATAGGACCTATATACCCTCACATACACACATGTTTTGAACAATTTTATTTGTTGCATTTAAACTGAGAGCAGGGTAATGGATGGCAGCAAAATTAAAGACAATATGAAAGAACGAAATAGAATATTAAATATTCTATTTTGTTCTTTCATATTGTATTTAATTTTGTTGCCATCAAATTTTGATGAAGTATAGATAGATAGACAATGGTAATACATTGAAGTACATGTCAAAATAGGTTGTTATATTAATTTTAATTAAGTTCTATATGTAAATGGGAGTTTAATAATTATGGTGTACAACCATTCTTCACCCTGATATTTTTTTTTTCATCCACAAAATATAGTTTATGATTTTATATTATGTTAAGCCCATTACACGTTTTCTGTATAAACACATAATAATGAAAGAAATTAAAAAAACAAGAACTTTACTCGCCATATTGTAAGCGTTGAAATAGAATTGATCGAATGTCTAAGAATAGAACACAAAACTGCCGAAAACAGAATTGGTCATGTTTGGGTGTGTATACCATCCAAATGACTCATACAATACCAATTCCGAGATGGCGCTGTTCACATTTTGGTAAAATAATATCGATAGTAATGTGGCGTAGCGTGTCAGGCGAATGCGGCGAGGGAACTCGGGGTAGGTGGTGGTGGTGGTGATGGTGGTGGGGGGAGGGGGGGGGGGGCACTGAACTTGTCTATACGTGGAGTAGAGTAGAGTGCAGTTGGGGAGTACTCCATCCCGCCCCTCCCCCTTTCTGGAAAAAATGTAACTGAAAACGTATACAACGCGTCATAAGTAGCGTCATTTTTTAAATTTTTGTAATACCCTTAGGCTCTCTGATCTCTCTCTCTCTCTCTCTCTCTCTCTCTCTCTCTTGGTATTTTGATGGTTAAGTATCTACCCAGTTTCTGTTATGAGGCATACGTTTATGATGAGCAGACAGAAAATAAACACATAAGAAGACTAATTTTGATTCTGTTATTTTCAAACTAACTAAATTAGGAAAATGCATCAAATGCTCTTTAGACCAAATATAATTTATAGGCCTCGCCTATTTTTAGATTGCATACGTTGGGTGCAAAGGTATAAAAGGATTGCACTCACACACCGCACCCCTCCGCACCCTTTCGATGAAAGCCGGAACGTACTGCAGGCCTAAACTTGATCATCATCATTTCCGTTCAGTTCCGTATCATTACTATATTTATTGTGTTTGAAACATATTCAATCTGTAACACCAACTATCATGGACATGAACTGATTTCCACAAACGTTTACCATTTTCGGGACCATTTTGCCTTACATTACAACTTTTATTGGTAAGTATAGTACTCTTTGGTTTCTTTCTGAATTTCATAATGACACAAGTGTGATTTGAGTAAGGGAGGTTTGTAAATTAAGGGGAGCAGTGAAGCACGTACCGTTTAAGAGCCGTATTCTGATGTTGTATTTTGTTTTTCTGTATGTATTTTTGTGTATTTCTGCATGTAACGTGTAAGACTGGTGGTGACGCAGATTTTTCGTCTGCCCCACCCCCCCCCCTTCCGAACTTTTTTCTCATTATGTCACTGCCCCTGGAATGTGAGCCCCCTGGAATGTTTGCCCCCCCCCCCCCAATCCCAAACTGCTTCCGGTGCGCCTTGTAGTCAGTAGATTTTATTGTACTTAATTATATTTAATATTTTCTCAGTTGTTTAGTTAGTTTAGTTTTGTAAGCATTTAAATGTACGCATTATTTTTATTTGACGAGGCAAGAGCCCTTCGCCCTTTCCCCGTTTCCCTCTTTCCTTCTTATTTTTCTTCTTTCTTTCTCTTTCCCTTCTCTCTCTCTCTCTCTCTCTCTTATTTTTTTTTTTGGCGGGGGGGAGGTAAGAGCCTTTCGCCCTTCCCCCGTTTCCCTCTTTCCTTCTTCCTCTTCTTTCTTTCTTTCCTTCTATATTTTCTTTCCCTTTCCCTTTTCCTTCTCTCTCTCTCTTATTTATTTTTTGGCGGGGGGGTGAGGAGGAGGCAAGAGCCCTTCGCCCCCCCCCCCGTTTCCCTGTTTTCTTCTTATTCTTCTTTCTTTCCTTTTATCTTCCCTTTCCCTTTCCCTTTTTTCCTTCTCTCTATCTCCCCCATCAACATAGTAATAACGAAAGAGACCACTCTGTAATCAAGACCATTTCATTTTATTTATTACATTTTCGATATACTTAAATTGGCAACTATTACCTTCTGTCCCAGATCCTCATTTTAAACGACTGATGCGAAAGACTAGTCGACGCAACCTTTCGAGAAAAGCCCCCCCCCCCCCCCGCTTTTATCGAAAGGGTGTGTTAAAACGGTACTCCGCTCTCAACGCAACCTTTCGAGAAAAGCCCCCCCCCCCCCCCCCGCGCCGCACCCCACCGCACCCTTTCGATGAAAGCCGGAACTGCAGGCCTAAACTTGATCATCATCATTTCCGTTCAGTTCCGTATCATTACTATATTTATTGTGTTTGAAACATATTCAATCTGTAACACCAACTATCATGGACATGAACTGATTTTTCACAAACGTTTATCATTTTGCCTAACATTACATCTTGTATTGGTAAGTATAGTACTCTTTTGTGTCTTTCTGAATTTCATAATGACACAAGTGTGATTTGAGTAAGGGAGGTTTGTAAATTAAGGGGAGCAGTGAAGCACGTACCGTTTAAGAGCCGTATTCTGATGTTGTATTTTGTTTTTGTTCTACCGTGTTTCTTAGCTTGTCTTTTTCTTATTCTCCTTTTCTGCTTCGATTACAAAAATGTACCATGGCAACCATGTCCAAATTACCATCGACTATGGTAACCATGGTTATCATGGTACCAAAACAATGAAATACATTGTTTAATGACCCAAAGTATTTCATTGTTTTGGTACCATGATAACCATGGTTACCATGATGGATGGTAATTTGGACAAAAGTACCATAGTTACCATGGTACATTTTTGTAAGGATCTCCTTATTCTTCTCTTTCTTCTTCTCATTCCCCCTTTTCTCTTTTTCTTTTCCTCTGCTTCTCCTTCTCCTTCTACTTCTTTTTCTTCTTCTTCATCTCTTCTCTTCTTCTAAGTTCTACTTAATTCTTACCATTTCTTCAACTACAGTTGAATCTAATCTGATGTATAGAGTTTTATAAAGAGCTATATAGTTCAACACAGGCGTGACGAATAGGTAGGCCTTATGATAACTGCCCCGTGTTATAATTTGTGTTTTTTTTCTTTCAGTGTTGAACTAGAGAATGGCTACTATCAGGACAGACGTGTCCATAGTTGGGAGCCAATGCGGGAAAACATGTCTCCAAACTGTATTTGTCCAAGGCACATTCCCTGATCCGGCAATTTACATCTCGAGGACTGAAATTAGTTTTTTCTCTTGCATAGAAGTAAATGGCCAAAAGGTACGTTTACACAAACTCAGCTCAGTGCAGCTTTTTTGCTAAAATTTAAATCTAAAAGGGCAAGTCCACTCCAAAAATACCTTACTTTCAATAGAAGCAGAAAAATCAGACTAACTAATGAAAAAAAGTTTGAGCAAAATCGGATTAATAATCACAATTCACAAGACAAATTGGCAACTCACTAATGAGTCTGTGACGTCATTGCCTCACTATCCACTAATTGTTTTCTTTATATTGATAACATAAATTTTAAATTTTTCCCCTAAAGATCTTAGTTTCTCACACCAGCATCCAAGTTATATTGATATTAGATTGATGTTTTTGTGTGGATGCACTAATTTAAAGTATTTTTGGTTGAACAATATTCAGCAAATAGTATAAATTCTTCAAAGTTCATAAAATATTTAGTGAAATGTCATGCACGCAATGATACAAATTATAAAACCTGGGCAAAGGCATGGGGAAAAAGTTTTTGTAGATAAAAAAGGGAAATTATAATGGGACAAAAATACATAAAGAAATTGGATAAATAGAAAGGCAATGACGTCACAAACTGATAACCACATTGGCAATTTGTGTAGTGATTTCCTACGTTCCATACTTTTTCATACTTCAAAATAAACAACTCATAACTACCTTAATAAGTTTCCGATTTCACTCAATTTTTTTGGCTCTGTTTCTCTTGTTTTTCTGCATCTATTAAAAGCAAATTATTTTTGGAGTGGACTTAGCCTCAAAAATCTCACTGCCTCGAAATTTGAATAGTCTGAT